TTGCAGAATGTATAGTTCAGTGAAAATGAAATCCAGCAAATATAACTTTTTTTCTTAAATTTTACATTCAACTTGTCAAAAATTAGTGAAAATAAATAACATAAAAATACCTCAAGTCTTTTCAGCTAAAACAAAGTATTTCACAGTACATTTAGTAGGTACCTGGTAGTATGATTAGCTGTATTATCCATTATAGTTAAGTTTGCCACATCAAAACATAAAAATGTGATCTTCTTTGTTTTACAGGCATTAGATGCAGTAGCTGGTATAACTGGCAGTGCAGCACCACCTGCTTTACCTTCACAAAGTTTAATGCCAAATATCGTCACTGCTTCCCCATCTGGATTTTCATCTCCTGGGCTATTTCAACAGGCTGTGTTAGCTTCAAATGCACCTGGTGTTATTACAGGTAAGACAACGTTTTGGTACAGTGTTGTATCTGAACAACATTGCACAAACCTGCTCAGTGACTTTCATCAAAATGTGCAGTAAAATTTGATCTTAGTAAATTTTCTTATTTCTTATAATTAAAGTTGTTCAGTGAAAATTGCACTGGCGCTCGCAGAAAGCACTGGTGCTCACAGAAAGCAATGGTACTTTCAGAGAGTACTTACTTGAGCCCTGATACTCTTGGCTGGCGCCCTCTTACTGGATTGTCGATCGAGCTTTCAAGTCATAATATGTCTTGAGCAACATGAAATCTTTCTCAAATATATTTTTTTCTGTGAAAACTTCCCAGTAACACCAGCTGACAATGTGTCTGGACACTAAATACACTAAAATTACTCTAAAAATATTTCAATGGCGATAGATACACCGTTAAAACGGATCAGAAACCTTCAGATATGGCGTATTCAGGTTGATCGCCTGTGTGTGCTCTCTCTTGTTTATTTTTTCTAGAAAAAACCCTGCTGATAGCATCAAGCTTGTGAAAATAAATGGAATTACAGTTTTGCATTAGAAACACTGAAATCTTTGACAAGTCATAGCCTTGTAATAAATTATAATTTCTGCCTTTCAGGTGTTACACCAGCCAAGACTACTGCAGCTTCAACACCGTCAGCAACAACAATAGCAGCAGCAGCAGCTGCCATTCAAGAGAAAAAAGAAAAAGAGGAAGAAAAAGAAAAAGCCGAGAATGAACTCCCTCAGACACTTAGTGAACAGGAGAATGTTTCAATATCTGGGAGTAGTGCGAGGCATATGGTGATGCAAAAATTACTTCGGAAAACTGAGGTGAGTTTAAAATGTGATGTCATCAGTTTCGTGGTAGAACATATTTCTCATTTTTTTATCATTTCACAAAGATAAATTGTGTAATCAGAATATTATTTTTAGTCACCGTTCAGACGCAGTCCGAAAACAGGGACTTATGTTTTGACCTCTGTGTGTTCGTGTGTGCGTGCGTCTGTGCATGCGTCCAGACCTGTATCTTAGAAATGCCTGGACCAATCACAATCAAACTTCACACATCATACATGATATTATACATATGCACGTCAATTTGTTTCACGATCTGATTCAAGATGGCCGAATGGCGTCCATTTCTGTGCTAAAAATCATCAAAATCAAGCATTTCCTGGCTGTTTACAGATGGATTTTGTTCAAACTTGGTATATACGTTGGACATTATAGAACCTTGATGCACATCACTTTGTTTTACGATCTGATTCAAAATGGCCGACTGGCCGCCATATCATCGACTTTTTTTGACTGATTATGTTCAAATTTGAAATATTCATTATACATCGTGTCATAGATATACAGATATATTGGTTTGACGGTCCTATTCAAAATGGCCAAATTGTGACTACTTTTGTGCTAAAAAATCATCTGATATCAAGCTATTCTGGGATTTATGGATGGATTTCGAACAAACTTATAACATACATTAGACATTATGGGTTCCTGATGCATGTCATTTCATTTTTCAGATCGGATTGATAATGGCTGACTGGCGGCTATTTTGTTTTAATGAATGTGGTTCTAGTGCCATATCTCTGACATGCTTTGACCGATTATGTTCAAATTTCACATATTCATTATACATGTACATCATGTTATAGATATATACATGTATTCAAAATGGCTGATTTTGTTTTAATTAATGCTGTTCCAGAGCAATATCTCTCAATATGGACAAGTACTCATTTGACGATCAGATACAAATGTCAATCATTTTAATGTTAAACAATCATCATAATCATATTCCTGACATGGTTATATTCCAGCTATAATAAACAAAACTATATCTCATAAATTTGATAACTAAAAGGGACTGTGCCATGCATGGCTTGTACATATCAATACACTCTGGTGATCAGGTGACATATGACACCATTACAAAAGTATGTATGCATGCAATAAAGTAGTTCAAAAAAACCTGTACAGTCACTGTAAATGTTTGTCAAATTGAATAATATCATTTGACATTCATATAAAAGAGCAGGCTTGTTGGGTCAGCATGTTCTGAAACCTGCCATCCTTTCTGTTATGTTCTGGTCCCAGGAATCAGCCTTAGCCTCACTGGTTCATATAGTAAGTTTCAAACATGTTTTGTTTGCAGTCCAGGGTGATGGTTCTACTGAACATGGTTTCGATAGAAGATTTAGACGATGAACTTGAAGGTGAGGTGACAGAAGAATGTGGAAAATTTGGAAATGTTAGTCGGGTTATTATTTATCAAGAAAAACAAGGCGAAGAAGAAGATGCTGAAGTTATTATAAAAATATTTGTGGAATTTTCTTTGCCCAGTGGTGAGTTCTGTTTTTGATTTAACATTCGGAATTACATCAGTTTTGTAAATGCAGACACAGTTCTTAATTATTAAACGTTTCTGTTTTATTTTTTGAGAGCAGAATTTGTTCCCACTCACATAGTCTTTAATTTTCACTGAATTCAATATTAATTTTAGATCAAACGAACAAAAGGTGACATTGTTCCAAATTTTTGTTAAAAAGAATTGAAATTTCTCAACATTTTTGTGTAATAGAGCAAATGTAAATGAAATTATTTTGTGGATGATGTCTGAAGTTGACTTTGGTGTTCAGAGTGTTAAAATTTTAGTTGCCCAAAAAATGTATTTCTTGATTTGGGTGGTGTGATTGTGTTTTACCCCTATCAACGGGATTGCATTAATCCTTAATTCTGCTTCCCAGACCCGCAATTCTAAGACAATTATCCTAATTTGGGGATTAGGTGTACCATTGTTGCATGTGTACATATTACATTCCTGTCATTGGGTCCAAACTACAAGGAATAGCAAACACAATCTCAGAGCCTTTAACGTTGAATCTTTACTGTATATTTGTATTTAATGGACAATTGCCTGTCTTATTTTTCTGTAGAGGCTGAAACAGCAATAGCATCATTGAATGGTCGGTGGTTTGGAGGACGGCTAGTGAAAGGAGAGACATACGACCAAGCAAAATTTGATGCAGGGGACCTATCAGGGTAGATTGAAGTTCTTAGCAGATCTCAAGAAATTTACATTATATTGCCTTCACACGTCCTTCCACAGAGCATAGTTCGCTACCTTCTGTTGACTGTATGAAGCCTGTTAGTTACGGATTAGATGAGCGTGTTGAAAGGATGTTGCATTTGAAGGAAGCAACTCTACGCAACAGTTACTATCGCCGATGTGTATCATAGAATTTTTAATGTTAGTCCAAAACAGACCGAAAACGTGTAAATAATTGGACAGAGTTTATTTTTCACACAATTTAAGTTGGAAAATGTTGTACATAGCTATTAGTTGTTAGCACAAGTTTCAAAATGAAACCTTGTTGGAAAAGATTTTGTGAAGTGGTCCTACGACTGAAAATGTGAGTAATGTTATCAAGCGATTGAAACATATTCATTTCAAAATGAAAACTGCATGTAATAAGGTAACAGCTACAGATCCTCCATGAAATTTGGTATGTTATTTTTTGCATCAGAATTATATGTATTTATAGTGCAACAGTCATGCCGTAATGATATGGAGTCCAATGTGATTGAAAAATGTATTGTTTAGTGTTCTCACCAGACACAATATGGTTAAATTTTTTGTCCCAGATTTTTGTTACACTTGTTAGACATATTGTCTCACAAAAATGTAAAAAAATTGCAATTCATAATAAAATTCAACCATAATAAACATTTAAGTACACTGTCTTCACTATAAAGGGAACAAAATGCTTCATGTTCATTTCTTGGTGAGAACACTGGTAACACAAAACTCAAACATAGTACATTATTAGACTATGGCCAGTTCACTCATCACAATGTACAAAGCCTAGAATACCGAGACTAAGCATTTCCATACATGGTAATAAAACACTGTTCACATAACTACTGATATTGTGGAAAACAACATCCCTATGCGTAACGGAACTGTCCTTCATCAGAAGTTCATTCTTTCCTCATATTTATTAAAATGCTATCAGAAGTTTTTTTTAAAGTTTTTGCTATTCCTGCATTTAAATTTTCCCTTCAACATTACTTCGCAGCCTAATCGCAGGTTTTTTCGAAAAAACAGAATTAGTAGAAATGTTTCTGTTTTGGGCGGATTATTGATAGAGAATAATGTCCTTATTACAAAAATGCTGAAAAACCGCGAGTTTTTGCCTTAGTTATTTTGTTATCAGCGAAAAACTGCGAACTCTGCAAATTTGGTTGCACAACTTCCCTCTATCATATACACCCAGCGACACCGATGCCAGCTGACTGTGCTACTATCCATGCATATACTTTGTAAATGACGTGTTTATAGTCAAGTCTTAAAGACGTTCTAGCAAAATTGAAGATTAGTCTTATTGTTTTCAGTACTGCCATGATATGGTCAACGAACAAAATTTTCATTGGTTTCTTCAGTGAAATTATTTTTTCGTATCTCCTATAGAACTGCCAATGCTGAAACCTTGTGTACATTTAGTGAGTTTTTCTGCAAAAAAGTTTTTGATTATATTCTATCCCGCAGTACATTTCACATATGTGCAGTAACATACTCAATACAAAATTTGAATTCGACTTGAACTCAATGATTGTGTTACAGTTGGTGCAGTTTATAATTTATGTATGCTTCTATCGGAGAGATGCAATATGAATAGACACATCTATGAACAAATATCAGTCGGTATTCAGAGTTATTTGATGTGATGTTTTTATCATAGTCATGTATTTTTTATGTTTCAAATACACTGTTGGGGAACATGCAATTAGTTTGTTATAGTGAAATGTTCACTTTTTTGAAGCACACAATACATTGGGTTTGTCGTTATATCAGGAAATTCATTATAACGGTGTTCATTATATTGAGGTTAAAGTGTATACATTTACCTATTTGCAGCACTGTCGAATTGATTGTACTCTAATACCTTGATTAGTTAGACCATCTCATTTTGGCAAATGATTTATTTTTATCTATAAATTCAGCCACTTGACTGGAAATGATACGTTCATATTCTACCAGACAGTCTGTCACCTTGATGGTTTTTTTGTCCTGATGAGAAATGTAGTTAATGTTGTCATGGATTATTACTCTAATAATACAACCACTTAACAATCAAATAATTTAAGTTAACACTACCTCTAAAAATGATGTTTATGGTCTAGTTAACACTTTAAATAAAAATGTCAGCTTATGTGACTTTTCAGAATTTACACATGTTGTAATGTTCAGGACTGGTTTGCAAAGCAAAATTATGTCCACTTGGTTTTGATTTATTGTATAAAAATACTAAAAAATATATTGGACTGTTGGCTAAAAAAATTATGGAGATTAAAAAGTTAATGAAAAGTTTACTGTATTTCCACAAATTAAGTTTTAATTACGTGCCAATCCTGTACACCCAAGCATAAAACCCATCTAACACATCCCTAAAGACCATTTTCCGTTCACTGCGAGAATCACGCGTTATGCGTGAAATCGAACGTAAAAACAGGACAAACAAAGGTCATAGTGGCGTCAAACATCGCGTGTGATTCGACAAACGGGAACATATTTTGGGGGAAATTTCCATGCTTAATAATGTGCTATACACATTTGATGATAGACAATTTCGATTAAGTCAGGGTATTCGAAAGCAATATTCCTCTGTCGAAGATCGGTCGACGCGTGTCTTTCATGCATCTCGCAGTTGAACGGAAAATCACCTATTGTCACTGAAGGAATGATATCCTTATAATACCCTGTTCAGTATATAATTTACATAATCAGTAATTACTTTTGCAGTATATGGCGTATATTTATATTTTTACACGTATTTTCCCTTACACTAGACTTGCATACAGTCTCTTGTTTATTTTTTGTTGTTTTTCTAATGAAATAAGAGTATATAAATGGTGAAAACTGAGTTACCACAAAACATTGTTTATTTTGCTGTAACCCATTTATACATTTATGAAAAACACCAAAAAATAACAAGAGACTGTATGCAAATCTACCCCACACTCGTGGTTTATTTCTTGTACAGTGAAAAACTTCATGCGTGTTAATACTGTCTTAAATTGTCTATTTTTGTTTCAATAAATTCTTTGTCAAGGTTTTAGTAAATAACCGGTATGTTGTCTTTTGTGTTAATGTGACTTGAGGTATGTACCCACATTTCATGCGTTTTATAATAATCTGGTTACTGTCTGCTTACTGAGAGTCAGCCTTATAGATTTGAACAGAAAAATCCCACCTCTGTGAAACCATTATTAGATTTCTTTGCATGTCTCTGATACAAGAAATGTTGTACATGAATGATTTAGCATTGGATTCACCCAACCACATGCAAAACCACATTGAACAAAAACAATGGGCTAATCATTTGGCATTGAACCATACTTATTCGGGACTCCCCTAATTGCCAAATGCATGTTGTGATAATTTATACTTTGCCAGTATAACATTAATTGTATCCTGTTAATTTCTGCTTAAATTTTATAAATAATAGGCGTTTCTGGAAATGGCGAGTTTGATAATGTCCCTCATTTAGTCTGTCACGTGATGCTGATGTAAATGAATGACTACCTAGTACATGTACATTCAAATGTATTTCTTTATATCAACGTTTCAAATACTGTGAATGGGTTAATTATTCACTGGGTTTTAATTTTGCTTATTTCACTGACTGGAAAATGTGCTAAATTGAAACACAGTGAATATGTAAAATTTAGCATAGAATACATTATCTAAATGATAAAACCGTGAATTTAAAACCCACTGAATATGCCTGAAATGGTAAATCAGCGACTTCACAGTAACTTAAGGTAAATATAACAGACGGAGAATTCTTTATTCAAAAATGTCATAATGCCCCCGTATTTACAGAAAGGTCCATCCCTGTATATGAGCTGAGAGTGCAAAGCACTATGGGTATGAGTGAAATGTTGTAAACAAGCAAGATGGTTCCTTGAATTGTTTGTGATACGTTTTATTAGTTTTTTTCTCTCGCAAAGCCGACGTGATCATCGTTGTACCGGTACTACAGCCGCAAATTTGTATCAATGTAATTGCTAGCAACCGTGGTATCAGTGGTGATCGTTCGTTATTAATCCCAATCAAGTATTTTCTTTACTGGCGAAACGTTTGGCTCATCGACGTGTGTTGACTGATAAGATATATGTGGGTGAATGAGACCGGAAGTCAGATCCAGTAGAAGTCCGTCCGCAAGTGTACCTGCATGTGAATGGTAATAGTTTAAGTCAAATTACGGTTACCTTGGTCACGTCAATAACTGATAATTCGTAATATACACTTATAACATAAAATCGTGAAACGCCCACTTTTAACTAGTAAGGTCAACGTCCTACTATCGTCTGGCATATGTATTGACAATCGCGATAACCACGTCACCAATATTTGTATCTGTTATTGAAATCGCGTGTTCGTGTTCGCGTTCAAACCCTGTTTAACGTAACAATGTTGCCAAATTTCGTAATAATCGCTGTTTCGGTTATTCTATTTGCACCGTACACAAGTACTTCGAGTGAACATTATGAAGTCACCTGGTGGGCCAAACATGTCGTTCCAGATTATTACACCGCTGGGAGATTGTCGGGAAGGCAGATGATGCACGCCGCCGATGCCGGTTTTAACTCCATCTTCGGCAACTATAACCATACAGAGGAAGAGAAATTTGGCGACGAAGAACTACCAACTACGTATGTGTGCAAGCAAATTGCAGATCGCTTAGGGATGGAATTTGATATCTTTCCGCCTGAAATTTGGTGGAGCACCAGAGAGGGAGTGGAGTATTTCGTTCAGAAGATGGATGCTATGAAACAACCAACTTTAGTTTACTGTGACACCGCATATAGTGCAACTGCTATCGTCTTACTCGGCTTGATGTATAAAACACAAAAAGACCCGTCTTTCAAACCAAAAATCTATTCGGATGAATTCTATCGCATTGGGCAAGCGCATGGATTTGATTTCGATGCAGACGAATGTCTTAATGAGTTAGTATCCTCTATAACCGGAGAACCCGAGGTGAAACTTCGCACGGATCCGTCAAATAAGTTAATATTCTGGAGAGACTATTGGTACGCCAAGTATATTTCCTCAGATTGGTTTTCAGCTGGTAAAATTCGAGATAAGCACGTTTCGGCAATCGTGAGTGGCGGATACAAAGCCATCGTTAATGTCAGAAATAAAAGAGCAAATTTATTAAACGCTGCTGATATGTACAGAGAATCGCATAACAAAGATTCTGACGGGAGAATGTCAGAAATCCATATGGACCCAAGTCAACCAGATGAATATACTTGTATTTCACTCACATCTGAAAATCAGCAACAGTGTGACAATCCTGACGGCTGTACAGCCAATCTCGACCACAGTGGACAGATTGAAATGGGGGTATACAATGGAGGTCGTGGAAAGGTCATACCTTATTACCATATACAAACAGGTATGTACATCTTCACACGATATGTGAAGATAATGTGAAAAATTCCCTTGCTCTTCAGACTATAATGTGAAATATTTGATACTGTAAAAGGATTAATTATTCACTGGGTTTTAATTTAGCTTATTTCGCTGACTGGAAAATGCGCTAAATTAAAACCCAGTGAATATGTAAAATTTAGCATAGAAGACATTATCTAAATGATAAAATCGTGAATTTAAAGCCCACTGAATATGCCTGAATTGCTAAATCAGCGAAATTTAAACCCAGTGAATATTAGTCATTTTACAGTAGATTGAATTTGCATGTTTTGTGGGAAAAAATACGGATTCACCAGGATTCTGCTTTTTTATTTTAACAGCGTGCAATAATTTTGAACAGAAACGAATCTTTATAAACCCACGCACGTTTAAACATTGTTTAAAAGCGTTACCAAATAGAAATTCATACTCCCAACCAAATGGAATGCCAAAACGCTTGTCAGTGTGAAATTTGAAGCCTTATTAAAATTGAAAGTAAATTTGCATATTTCAAACAATTAAATATTCACAGCAATAATGCCAAAGCTCTATGAATTGAAAAATTAAAATGCAAGTGGAGAGCACACCACACCACCTCAACCCAAACCCCACCAACTCCCAGCCAGTATATGACAGGAAAGTGTCAAATTTAGTAGGGTTTGTAAAGACTGTATGATTGGTGACAAAATAGGCCGGGATTTGAGGCTAGGACAGTGCACTAAGCAAGATCTTGTAAATTAAGTGACTCTAACAGAGAACTACAGTATGTTAAGTATTGAAATATTGGGATTTGTTGGGACAGTATAGCATTTAGTGGGGTTTATGTGTCTCTCCTATTTCTCCCTATGAGTAGGAGACTGTGCCACAAAAATATGCCAATTGTGTCAGGAATGGTGGACATTATCCTGGAGTTACTTGTAATGTGCCCACATATCTTGGCCCTCCAGGGAGTCAGGGTTTCAATTTTAACAGGTGCATAAAATTGATAATGGAAACACAACTTTAATGTTGTTTCATTGGGTTTTGTTATGTTTGTGTTATTTATAAGCATTTCTTTGATGTCATTTGTATTAGATGATGTAACTGGTGAATTATTCTACCAATATGTTGATAAGTTGGAGGAAGCATCATCGCATGGATCTGTTATTGTACATTGTGATAGTGGTCGCAGAGGAAGTAAGTTCTTCAATCAGTCAATCAATCAATCAATCAATCAATCAATCAATCAATCAATCAATCAATCAATCAATCAATCAATGAAATTTATATAGTGCCAGTATCCAATATGACATATTTTTTAGAGGCGTTGATGGTTATTATCTACGTGCTGTTTATATGTGCATATGACACTGTCTAGGTGCTATTTACAAGTGCATATGACACTGTCTAGGTGCTGTTTACAAGTGCATATGACACTGTCTAGGTGCTGTTTACAAGTGCACAAGCAGCTATCTCTCCATGTGTTGTTTGCATGTGCATATCCAGCTGTCTAGGTACTGTTTACATGTGTATAACCAGCTGTGTAGGTGCTGTTTACATGTGCATATGACACTGTCTAGGTGCTGTTTACATGTGCATATGACACTGTCTAGGTACTGTTTACATGTGTATAACCAGCTGTGTAGGTGTTGTTTACATGTGCATATGACACTGTCTAGGTGCTGTTTACATGTGCATATGACACTGTCTAGGTGCTGTTTACATGTGCATAGCCAGCTGTCTAGGTGTTGTTTACATGTGCATAAGCAGCTATCTCTCCATGTGTTGTTTGCATGTGCATATCCAACTATCTAGGTGTTGTTTGCATGTGTTTGCATGACACTGTCTAGGCACTGTTTGTATGTGCATAACATGAACATCTTAGCATTTTGCTACATGTGTGTTCATTTTGGCTCAGTATTATTTGAATTAAAAAATATGAAAAACTTGAGAAAAACAGCTCCTTTATAATTAAATAAAGCTGTTCTGTGCAG